ACTCCACATCCGAGAGCAGAGCTGCCACAAATTTAATGTCAAGAGTCAAATTCAGGCAACCACCTTGAGGTGCCCGCATGTGACACAGAAATCTTTCATGGTGGTTATGAGCAATGGCCGACCTTCCGGGACATGTTTACAGCCGTTTACATAAACCACCCAAAATTATCAAATGCACAAAAATTGTATCACAAAGCGAAGAGTCAAGCAGGCGTCGTAATCAAACAGTGCAGCATTAAATGGCGATAATTTCAATCTAGCTTGGGAAGCTCTAAAAGCAAGATACGAAAATTAAAGAATATTGGTCGATAAGCAAGTAACGATACTAATGAACTTGCCTAAAATTCAGAAAGAAACAAGTGAAGAATTTGTTAGACTACAATCCACTGGTTTTTATTGCTTGTCGGTTCTATCGACACAAAATATTTTCACAGACAGCTAGGCCCCTATTCTGGTAAAAAAAAATAATTATAACTAAAATCGTTCAAAACGTCCTTAATCGAAGCTTCAATAGATTCCTAACCAGTAGCAACAAGAACTTATATAGAAGCTTTTTTAAAAATCAATCGTTCATATCCGAACAGTATAAACAAACGTCATGCGAACTGTGCACAGGAGGGCATAAGCTCAAATCTTGCGAAAAATTAAAAAAATTGAATATTGTCGATATGAACAATTTTGTGTGAACAAAATAACTGCTTGTCACGTGCGCATACTCCAAAATAATGTGCAAGCAAATTCAATTCCGTATATTGCCACAAAAGGCATCATTCAATGTTATATCCCACACATTTTTCCAGCTCACCTCAAATTAATGTTAAAAGGGCTACTTAATTAATTGCAACAGTAAATCCCGAAAATCGCCAAGAAGCACCATGCTGTTCAAAGGCATTAAAAACGCAAACGCTACACAGCGAAAAACAAAGTATGGTATTACTACCCACAGCAGTCGTCTCCATTTAACACCGAGGAGAACTGTTTAAACTTAAGGCTTTAATAGACCTAGGATCTAAACGTCCATTTATAGCGTCTTAGGCACAAAACAGGTACAAATGCCAACAAAACTAGCTAATTTTGAAATCACGGGCAATGGGCGGAAAAGTAGTCCAAACCTCAAACAAAATCTGCCCCATTACCCTAATTTCCCCCAAAGCGGATAAGAGCATTCAAGCAGAAGCTACTGTTTTACCGCAACTAACAAATATACTTCCAAACTATCACATAAATAGCAAGCATTGACAAAAGGTTTCACACCTAAAGCTAGCAGAGCCCACCTGCAACACCCCCGCTCAAATAGATCTCCTATTAGGCAGCGATCTCATACCACAGATCATACTCGAAGGTATTGAGAAAATTTCAAGCACACTTTTGGCGCAAAATACTACTTTTGGTTGGATCTTAAGTGGACTACTTACGGAACCAGTTACCACCATGACCACTCAAGGAAATCTCAACTGAATACCTTAATTCGCAAATAAAGAAATGTTGGGAGTTAGAAGAGCTCCCCCCCATATCAATCACAAGCCCTGAAGATAAGTATTGTGAAGACTTTTACAAAGCCACAACTACTAGATCAGATAATGATCGGCAGGTCGTACGACTACCACTAGAACAACAATTTAATAACACACTCGCCTTAGATCACTCTCGCACCTCTGCAATACAACAGCTTTTAAGTATAAAAAAAAACTTACTTCAAAAGGTGAGCTTAAACCAGAATACGATAGCGTGTTAGAAGAATACCTCCGAATTAGACCGAAAAAATCATAAACGGCAATTACTACTAATTTTACTTGCCTTATCACGCAGTAGTAAGGCCGGATAAAAACCAACAAAAGTAAGATTTGTCTTCAATGCTTCAAGATCCACTAGCCCAGGGAATTCCCTAAATGATATTATATTAACGGAACTCACGCTCAAACCAGCTTTAATGGTACTTACATATTTTAAATTGGCGTATATTCGAATATGTATTCAACGGAGACGTCGAAAAAATGTATAGACACATAGTCGTACATAAAAACGATCAAGATTTTTAGCGTATTATTTTCCGAAAATCCACCAATAGTCCATTACGCGACTACTAATTAAGAACAATGCCCTTCGGCATTAACTGTGCCCCATTCTTAGTCATTCGAACACTCCACGAATCGGCAGAAAATACCAAGTCATAACCTGGCAACCCAGTCGTTGATCTCTGTACCCAAAGCGGAACGATGACCAGACCGCTCGTGTTGCTGTGCTTTCTACTAATCGGCGAAGCAACTGATAAACGATAAATAGATAATAATCCCGAAAGCGTAATTAATAACCGATTAAATAAACCGACAAAAAACGCAAAGACAATAACTTGCAAACTCGACAAAAATCCGTATGTATAAGTATAAAATCTAACAGGTCGATCAATATGACGACCCCTTGGTGCCACAAAAAGTTGTAGAATGCCTATTTCAACTTATATCTTACAACCTTACATGGAACCGCAGCGAGTCCGGTGCATCATGTGCCGCCGCCCTCACCGACTACAGCAATGCAACATTTTCAGGGACATGCAACCGATGCAACGCCAACAAATTGCCCAAGCTCATGGGTATTATCTTAATTGTTAGGCACATAATACGCAAGAAAGCACGTCCGTTAATCTGTGCCAAATATGCGGCAGGCTGCGTCATACATTGCTTCATCGCAACCTGAGACGCGACATCGGTCGGTCGCCTGCCCCGCGCAGTCGCCCTTTAAGCAGACAACCACCATCAACTCGGACGATACAACACCGACGACCAGCATCCCCTCCCGCGTCCCGACTAAGGAGTCACCAAAACGAAGCACCAATGATGCGCCGGCAATCTAGGCCGCAATATCGCGACTCCACGGGACTGAGCAACATTGTAGCAACACTGCAACAGCACCCTCTACAAGCACCACACCTATAATAATATAACTTCTATCTTCAATGCTGCGAAGTTTTGTTTTGCATATCTTAGCTCACTTTTGATATTGTGAATAGTTAAAATGACATAGACTTAAAATCAATTATGATAATTTATAGAAAACCAAAATAAGTGGTTACAGCAAGGCGCAACAATTTTATCTCCATTAAGAAAGATTCCATCTGCCGATAGATATACTCGTACTAGGTTGTGTTCGATACATATTGTTTTTGTTTACTGCACATGAATACGTGTTGATACATTTGGGTGCGAGACTGTGATAAGGATTACCTATGTTTCTTAACTCTGGATCATCACTCGCTAAAACAATTCGTTTTCGTCTACGAGCCTGATCGCCACACATCATAGCATAAACACAATACGGGCAACGACGAATATTCGTCGTTCTCGGCGATACCGTCGGATGTATTTTCGAAGAGTGTTGCCGCCGTGTAAAATACAATACGGACGATTTTCGCCGCAACTGTCATTTTTTGTCAACTGTTAGTGCTTGTGAGTTTATTAAAATATGAATCCGCGTATTTTTAGATTAATTCAAATTTTAAAAATGTTAAATATAATGCTAAACATGTGTAAGATATACATAGATTTTAGAATATAATAGATTAGAAGAAGATGGTGAATACGACTCGTGAATTTAATAAGAAAGGAATTAGGGTTTTATGGTACTTGCTTTAAACCGCTGAAATCTATGGATGAAGAGCACTTTTTCCAAGTAACTTGGATGAGTGTCCACAAATTTAATGCTCTTCTTTGTTTAATGAAAGACAAGCTCCATCGCTGTTCGAGAAGAGAACCGATAAACGCAGAAACACGTTTGGGAATTACATTGATGTAATTTATATTTATAATTTATATTAGAATCGTAAATAACAGGAAGTTATATTTAGGTATTTATCTCAAGGATGTTGTCTTAAATTTCTGGCATGGTCTCACAAAATTGGACTTTCAACGGTGAGGAAAATTATTTACGAGACTTGTGCTGCAATTTGGAATGAATTACACACAGTGTATGTTGCTCAACCAAACCAATCCGAATGGAAAAACATTTCTGAAAGGTGGGCTTTACATTTTTGCTAAATAATAAAAATTGATTCTATAAATTAATTTTTTTTTTTATATTTGTAGATTTTATATAAAAATGCCGCCCTGCCTAGGTGCTATTGATGGCAAACATATTAACATAGTTTGCCCGAGACGTAGTGGTTCACTTTTTTATAATTACAAAAAAACATTCAGCATTGTTCTAATGGCAGCTTGTGACTCCGACTATACATTTACTTTTGTTGATGTTGGGGCAGTAGGAAGTCAAAGCGATGGCGGAATTTTCGCCAAAAATGTTTTTGGGAAAATGATATTAAGAGGAAACATCGTATTGCCTCCTCTCGATCACCTTCCGGGTAATTAAATAATCTGAATTTTGGAAATAACTTAATTTTTTATGATTACAAATACTTTCCTTTTTCAGGTACAAATAAAGACTTCCAGTATTTCTTTGTGGGGGACAATGCTTTTCCACTTAAGGAAAACCTTATGCGTCCATATCCTGGCTGCAACTTGTCTCCTCTGAAGCAACACTACAATAAAAAGCTATCTTCGGCTAGAGTTTACATCGAAAATGCATTTGGTATATTAGCGAATAGGTGGAGAATATTATAAGCAATATTTATGCAGCACCAAAAAATATTGATAAAATAGTGTTAGCAACAGTTGTGCTACATAATTATCTCATGCTAGATAGGAGCTCGGGATATTTTACTGAAGAGTTGGTGGACCATTCGGAAAATGGTGCTTTCGTTCCTGGAATTTGCCAAGCCAACCGTTCAACGGTGGAGGCGTTTGCATCGAGAGACGAATTGGTGGAGTATTTATTTAATAATTAAGCCAATATTTTGTGAAATTTTATTCATTTTTTATTAAAATTCTTCTTAATTCAGTAAAATTCATATAAAATAACAAAAAGCGTTCTTATTTCAAAATAACAATTGCACTACAGAGTAACAAAAAAGAATTCATAAGATATACATAACGAAATTATTTCAGTAAAACACATGTAATTTCTAGTTTCCTAATTCACTATACACTAAGGCTACTACTTTCGCCTCAATTTGTCGTATGCGTTGAGGGGTTAGGTTAGCCTCACTTATGTTCCTCGCCAAGCTTTGGAATAACAGTGACGTTGCACCCTCGTGTTCTGTGGGAACGGCTGCAAACTCTTTCACTGTATCCACGCACTCCTTCATCATGACAGTGAACACATCGCTAACGGTATCCCTTGCTGCATTCCTTTTTTTTGTTTTGTCGCATTTGGAGGAGTGTAATAACCTTCTGGATAAGTATTTGTACTGGTCTTTTGTTGAAATAGAACGTTCTATTAAGTGGAAAATATTGAATTATAAGAATACAAATATGACAGATGTAATATTTACTCTCGAGAATCACTGTAGCCATCCAAAAAACTTAATGTGTTCATATATTTCCATGATTTGCATGGAATAGGAGCACCACTGCCGGAAGCCAGTTGCTGTGCACGTTTACGTTTTTTGTACGTGTCACGCAGTCCTTTCCGTCGTTTCCTACAGCTGTTTTCTGCAAATATTTATAATACTTAAGAATAAAGGTTATAATAAAACAGGATTTTCTTTGACTCACCCGTCAAATTTATTATTTTAGCTACTTCTTTCCAAATTTGGGTTTTTTTAAACACATTTTTGTAATCCGGTGATGATAAATTGTATAGGCACTCATATTTACGTATTTCCTATATTAATTGTTCGTTTAAATCCATTTTATTTGCTTATAGCAACCTAGTGCGTACTTCGCTGTAAAAATATTACAATGTTTTGATTTTGAAATTAAAATGATGAAACCAAACAGAAACAATCTTAATATTGCCAACGCAGACACTTTCTGGAATTTGCTTTGAAATTTCTATAGATTTTACTGAAAATAAACTTTCTTTGATGTGGCAATGCCGCGGTCGGCGATAAAATTAAAAATAGCTCTATCTCAAAAATCGTTCTGGTGGGCGAAATTCGCCGCCGTCCAGTATTATGTTAATCTTCATATACAATCGTGTATTCGAATCACCGACGGCATCGCCGTATTGTGTTTATGCTATCATTTCGATTGGTCAACACGTGCGATAAAACTACGGCAAGCTTCACCTTTCAGAACTCGTAATGCTGATTCATTTCGGACATATGTCTTACCTACATAAATACGATAAATTTCATAATAATTTATAATTATATATTTATAACAATAATATTAAAGCCGTGTCAACCTTGTATACGATACAATCGTATTTTTAATTAAATTATCCACGCGATTATAAGTGAAGTGGTAAAATGTTTTAACATTGGTGGGTTGTGCTCCCTAACAAATTGAGAAATTATTCATGGTCCTTCGAGTCTTACCGAAAGGCACCTTCGGATTTTTACAAAACTGTGTTAAGAAACACAATAAATAATTATAGTGGTGGCAAAGAAAGAGAAAACACAAAAAAAAACCAAATTGAGTTAACAAAATATATGCATACAATAACAGAGTGCAGTACAGTGGTACAACAAAAAAAGAGTAATAAAATTTGCAAACTAACACAAAAAAAAATAAAAAAATGGACTCAAAAAAAAAACAAAAGAAAAAGTGAATATATATATATAACTGAAAGAAGTAAAACACGAGGTTTAGGTTCAAGTGCTTAAACAATAATGACTTTATTTTTTCATCATCCACACTTCCAGCTCCTATCTCTAAGTATAAGAGGCGAAATGTGAGAGAGGCGTTTAGAAGCAGAGTCATACACGTATATATGTAGTCGACATATATACATATATATGTCACTCCTCCCAACTTTAAAAGTGACCATATTTCTTAATTAGAGTACTTACGTTTAAATTTAATACATATTTGTTCTTATTCGATTTTGTTATTTAGTTTTAAATATATACTTTAGAAAACGACCTACAATAATTTTTTTTATTTTTTATTTTTTATTTTTTAATGTGTTTATTTTTTGTAGGTTGCTATGATGATGATTGGTTAATATTGCTTATGTTATTTAGATAATATGGAAATCACAAACAGATAAAGCTCAAATTAATAAACAAATTTCATTTCTTCAATATTTTTTCTTTTTTCTTTTGAACTGGTTTTTATACTTTCTGACTTTTTGGTTTTTAAATTTTACAATATGATGCTCCCCATCTTCTTCTGTTTTTAACAATCTTACTTGTCTAAATGGATTACATATCTTATCTAATCTTTTTCTTGAATTTTCCGCATTTACAAAATTAGTATCGATATCTTTTTCTTGTCTGTATTTATTAATATTTTCAATTCTTTTTTGTTTGACTGCTTGCGGGTCATTTTTTGGTGGCTCTTTATTAGAAAATATCTTATATGGAATTTCCCCAGTAGTCGAGTGAATAATTGTGTGGTTATAGGTAAAAATTACTTGTTCTATTTCTAAATATTTCAATTCTTTGTCTTCCGATGTATTTATTATTCTCAACTTCTCATTGAGGGTTTTATGCAAACGCTCAATATCGCCTATGCCTGTTTTGCCTGTTGTTACTTCAACTTTTATGTTTAATTGATCACACCATTGTTTGATGTTTATGTTATTTAGGCCTTGATCTTGGTCAACCTTCATACTCTTAGCGGGTCCCACAGTATTAAATACTTTCAATAGCGCTCTCTTGCTTTCAAGCCAATTTAATGATTTTACGTTCTCTACCATGGCAAATTCGGAAAATAAATCAATACAAGTCAAATAAAATTCATTGTTCCACTTCCAAAAGTCTATAACATATTTTTCTCTGATTTCATATACCGGAGGCGTAACTTTGAATGGTAGTTTGTTTGCAATGTGGTCACTTTTACAGTGATTACATAGCTCGCAACTATTAATAATATTTGAAATTTCTTTGAGGTAGTTTGGATAATAATATTTTTCTTTAAAACATTTTGCTACTTTTTCTATCCCTTGGTGTAGTCCATTTAAATGGATTTCTGTAACAATGGATTTGAATTCGAAATATTCTAAAATGTTTTTTAATTCTTTATTTGTCCTATAAGTTCTATTTCTGCTACTAGTTATCAAGCTTTTATAAATATTTTGGAACTGCAGAAAGTCGTTATCGTTTGGCATGTATATAACGGTTCTCTTTCTTAATATATATGTTTTAATGATTTCTTTTGTGTATTCTGGCGTTAGTTTTTTGTAAGTTATCAAAACAAGATTATTACTAAAAAATTTTAGCGTTTCACAGCTATTTTCATTTCCCCTTATTAGCTTTACTTGATTTTTAAATAAATTTAACGGCCGTTCTGTTATGTGGATATAACTTTCGTTATCTTCCTGTGCCGAATGGGTTGTTGCACAATTTGAGGCGATTTCGTCTTCCTCAGCATTGCATTCCTCTATTTTTATGCGTGATAACGCATCGGCAACGTGATTTTCCCTACCCGGAATGTATTTCACGTCGAAATCATACTCATTGAGGCGTATCTTCCATCTTTGCAGTTTTGCATTTGGTTCCCTCAAGTTATGCAACCATTGAAGTGGTCTATGATCGCTGTTGATAGTAAATTTCCTACCATACAAATATGGTCTGAAGTATTTAGTGGCCCAAACCATAGCTAACAGCTCTTTTTCTGTGGTAGAGTAGTGAAGCTCATGCTCATTCAGAGTGCGACTCGCAAAGCAAATAGGGTGACTTTGTTGGCTTAACACTGCACCCAAGGCGACGTTAGAAGCGTCTGTAGTTAACGTAAATGGCTTTTCGTAATTTGGGTATATTAATATAGGATCTTCAGTTATCAAAATTTTAATGGTATCAACAGCATTTAAATATTCTTTGTCTTGAGCGTTTACCATATTACCTTTTTTTAAACAGTTTGTTAGCGGTTTGGTAATTTTTGCAAAGTTTTTAATGAATTTGCGATAAAAACCCGCCAAACCCAAAAACTGTTTGATCTCTTTTTCCGTTTGAGGTACAGGATAATCTAAAATCGCCTTAATTTTATTCGGGTTTGGCTTTATGCCTGATGGGGTTACTACGTGCCCCAAAAACTCTGTTTCATGTTTTAAAAACTCACACTTGATAAGCTGTACTTTAAGATTAGCATCAGACAGTCTTTGGAAAACTTTATCGAGTGATTCGATATGCTCCTGAAGTGACGTACTGAACACCACAATATCGTCTAGATACACCATGCAATTTTTACCAATCAACCCTTCCAATACTGTGTTCATCAGCCTTTGGAATGTGGCTGGGGCGTTTTTCAGCCCAAATGGCATACGCAAGAACTCGTAATGCCCTCCTTGCGTAGCAAATGCGGTTTTCTTTCTGTCAGCTGGGTCCATCTCGATTTGGTGGAAACCCTGCGCTAAATCCAAAGTGGAGAAGTACATACATTTACCTAGCTTGTCCAAGATTTCATCCATGTTCGGGATCGGGTATCTATCGTCTATCGTTACTGTGTTTAACTTACGAAAGTCGAAAACTATTCTCCATCTCTCTTTCCCTGATTGATCCGGTTTTTTAGGCACAACCCATAGCGGTGCAGAGTACGGAGAATCGCTATGGCAAATAATCTTTTGCTCAAGCATTTCCGCTATTTGCCTGTCTACTTCCGCCTTGTGCACTTCCGGATATCGGTAAGACTTTACATAGATAGGGTCTTCGTGCACGGTTTTGATTTTATGTTTTATTTTGTGGGTGAAAGTTAGCTGATTTCCTTCCTTAAAAAAAATGTGGTTAAATTTTGCCAATAAGCCTTTGACCTCTTTATCTTCCTCAATATTTAAGTGGCTTAATCTATATTTAGTTTTATCTTTGTCATCATTCATAACATTTAAATTACTGCTAAAGTGATCTAAGGAATTATTGTTGTTACAAAAAGAATAAAGCTTTCCGCTTAAATTAATATTCATATTTTGCAAATTAATTTTCGAATTCAGCTTCTTAAGTATATCAAATCCCAAAAGTCCTTCGTAACTTTCAGAAAAGTTGTACACATAGAATTTTAAATTATGTTTAGTAAATGCAATTATTTCTTGTACTTTGTCTAGAACAATTTTACTTGTTGCCGTTTTTAGAATAATAGGTTTTACTTTTGTAACTTCATTACTTAATACATATGGTTTAATTAAACTTACCGATGAACCCGTATCTATTAAAAATTTGATTTCTTTATTATTTAGTGTCAATTTAATCGAGGGTAGTCTTCCGAGGCTTCTAATTGAAAATTTGAAGCATCCTGATCCATTGGCTCAGGTTGACCATATCTTCGCAATCTTGATTGATTTGAGCCAACGGGATGAGATAGTGTTTGTAATGAACTTGTTTGCAGGGCATTGCCTGGGGTATATGTAATCGGACCATTGAATGAGTGGGTACAATGACTTTGTTGACTGGGTTGGCTAACATTCACCTGTCTGGATTGATTTTGGCCTAAATTAGTATTGCTAGATGGGACTCCCTGTGTATGAAAGTTGTTGTTATTTACAGGTAGACAAAGATGATATTTATCAAATCCACTTTTATTAAGTTTGTTATTATTAGGGTAATGGATAGCGCGTGGGTTAGTTTTAACATCTCTTTTATATTCATAATCATAAGCATCATTTTCTTTTAAAATTTTAACTGCAGACTTTACGTTAGTGGCTAAGTTTGCATTTATCAACGCAGTTAAATGGTTTGGCAATTCTGTTTTAAGAGTCTTGATACTTAATTGTTCTAATTCATTTGTCAAAAATGTTTTAGTTGCACTATTTTCATTTTTTAATTTAATACAATCTTTAATTCTACAAATTGCGTTATTTATTTCTTCACAAAGAATGCGTACGCTACCTTTAAATTTTATATTACTAACTTGTAAAATAAGAGTCGAAATTGGAGTGTGTTCTCCAAACTCATCAACTAAAAGTTCTCTTAGCGTGGACCAATCTGGCGGCTGCTCCCTCCTTATGACGTCCAAAGCTGCCCCTCGTAAAGTTCGTAATATGCAGTTGAAATAAAATGCTCGCTCAGCAGGTTGCGTTGGTGCAACCACAGGCATTATGGAATCAATGCTATCGACATACAGTGCTAAGTAATTAGCATCACCATCAAAAGGCTGAATTAATTTAATATTTTGCATTACGAGTTCTCTTATTTGTTGTGCTTCGGCCATGTTTGTTGTTTTTGTTTCAGCGTTAATGTCTAATATTCTTAAGTACTCATTTAAATTTTCTAACTCTTTATTTAAGTCCATCTATTTCTCTTTTTATAACGGAAAGTGTGGAGTATTTAAATCTCTCATCGCATCGAATATATGTTTGTTATATGTAACCACACAATGCAAACAAAATTAAATAGTTTTTGTTTCTCACGTTTGTAAATGTTGCCCGAGAAGTTTACAACTGATAATGCTTTATTATTTATTTAACTTTTAATTTAAAACTGACGAGTGACTTGTGATTTCATTAGTACGCTTTTCTTTTAATATTTTCGCACGCCACGCGTACCTAGCAACACCGAAGGATCGGTTACCGACTGCGCCACTGAAAGAAGTAAAACACGAGGTTTAGGTTCAAGTGCTTTAACAATAATGACTTTATTTTTTCATCACCCACACTTCGAGCTCCTATCTCTAAGTATAAGAGGCGAAATGTGAGAGAGGCGTTTAGAAGCAGAGTCATACACGTATATATGTAGTCGACATATATACGTATATATGTCACTTATATATGGATATATATGGCTATATATATATGGCTATATATATATATATATATACATATGTATATAAATAACAGCATACAAAAAATATACATGTAGGTCAAGTGCAGTGAAATAAAAGTATACACTGATATAAAAACGATATAAATATGTATATACACACATATAAATGTTAAAATGTAGAAAACACACAAAACTCACCAAAGATACAGTGCTAATATATATATTTATCGAACATCCCTCTACAAGCACCACCATATATGTATACATAAGTATATTAACAAACCAAATTATCAAACATTTTAAACAAACAAAAATTCACACAACCGGGCGCGAAACCTAAGCACAAAACATAAATAAGCTGTAAGCAGCTGGAGAAGAATCACAGGAATTGGCACAAAACGCAAAGGCATTATACCCTACCAAGTGAGCATATTTAGTCCTTAAATATTTATTATACGGAAATGCCCATATGTATGTACAATTTATAGGTTTATATATAATTATATAAAACCTGTAATACCAAATCCGTTTAACAATTTAATACGGTTAGCAAACTGGTCTAATTTTCGGGTTTAATTTACGGGAAAACCGAAAAAAGTTTGTTGTAATATATAGACACATATTTACATAAAATAAAATATCTAATTATTGAAGGCCTATCTACTAGCTTACCTTTGCACACCAATTAACAAACACAAAAAACCAATTCAAGTATATACTTGCACATTTCTCCAGCAATACCCCTTATGTTTAAAAAAAAAAAGAAAAAAAAACAATAAGCAGGATTGCAAAAACTAAGTAAGCAAAGGCACAAGTATAAATCAAAATTTTAATATGAAAAACAAAAAGAGAGACAACAAACAAAAACATACCTATATGCATATTTGCTTAATGCTTACATCTTATACCTATATACAAGTATATTCTTGATATACATATTTACATACCAAAACCTAATTGTAAATAAACACAAAGTGCATACTGGAACATACCTGCACATTATTCACTTCGCTTTCGCGCTCTATTCGCATTGCGAACACATATTTCGCATTTACATGCATACGGCATACAATCTGCCTATGCTTATATGCCCTATATACATTGGGTCAATTCGGTATGGATATTTCAAAAAATTGTTGAAAAACTTACATATTACTTCTAAAATAAATAGACGGTCCAGTAAACAAATAAATTAATAAAAAATAATAAATAATTTATTACAAAACAAACATACAAAAAGCCCGCGGTTAAACAAAAATTGTGAATTTGAACAATATACGTACATAACTATTAAAACATATACAATTGTAGTTGTACGTCTTTTCAAAGTCCACATTGGCATATATCCAGCAAGACCCCTTATAACAAACAAGCAGGATTGCATACAAAAAAAAAACGCATTGATCTCTTCAACGAGCTTTCAATTGCATTAGAACATAACCATACATACGCACAAACAATTTGTGCAAACTTATGTACAAAGCGCATTGATCTCTTCAACGAGCTCTCAATTTCACGAGCACATAAATATGCTTGTACACATACAAGTCCGTGTATTAGGGTGTTCCAAAATACATCAACATAAGGACAAAACAAAAATAAATAAATAAATAAAAAACGCTTATAAACGTATAAGTGCATTCTGTATTTATTATAATTTATCGCTCCCTGTTAATCAGCTTACACTGGGAAAAATTTTAATCAACTTTGACACATATAGTAACATTACAAAAATGATGAATGTGGATAAAAATCAAATTACACCTACAGAAGCTACACGCGCAAGACAGGTTGCCACAAAGCAAATAAAAGGCAAAGATATTTGTGCCAACAAATTCATTTCTGAGAGTGACAGATTAACACGATACTGCACTCGATTTTCATCTTCACCGATTCAAGACATCTCTGAATCGTTATTGGAAATAAAAAAACAATATATTGACAATTTTTGGACTCATCTCCAAACGGCTCATGACGCCATAGTAGATTTTGACGATTCACATCTACCACACAATTTTAAATCATCGGCTTACGCAATATACGAAAACTGCTTAGACCTGTACGAAGAAACAAAAGCTTGATTTCTGATCAATTAAAGCTACTAATTGCAATTGCACCTGCTGCCACAAATACAAAATCAAGAGGCAAGTTCAGGCATCCACCTCGAGGTCCCGCATGTGACACAGAAACATTTTATGGTGGTTATGAAGAATGGCCGTCCTTCCGGGACATGTTTACAGCCGTGTACATCAACCATCCAAAATTATCACAAGCACAAAAATTGTATCACCTCCGACACAAAATAAAAGGTCAAGCAGGCGTAATAGTCAAACAGTTCGCACTTAATGACGAAAATTTCAATTTGGCCTGTGAAGCTCTAAAATCCAGATATGAAAATGAAAGAATATTGGTCGATAAACAAGTAAAAATAGTAATAAACTTGCCTAAAATTCAAAAAGAAATAAGTGAGGAATTTATAATACTACAATCCAGTGTTTCTATGTTTGTCGGTGTTATCGACACAAAATATTCCCACAAACAACTGGGACCCTATACTGGTAAACATATGCACCGCCGCATTACCTGAAAAATCGTTACTTTTATGGGGCAATCGCTCTTATCACGAAAGAAATGCCCCACGTGGCAAGAAATAGAAGACTTTCTAAGTACCCAGTACGAAATCGCTGAAAGGGTAGACAAAAAGCTAATTAAAACAAAAATTGTACAACACGACCTAAAAAGAAGCTTCAATAGACCCTAAGCTAGTAGTAAAAACAACTTTAACAGAAAAAAATTTATAAAACGCAATGGTTCACATCCGAACAGAATAAACATACGTCATGCGAACTATGCACAAGAGATATTTAAAAAACTTAAAATTCACGAAAGAAACAATTTTATAAGATCAAAAAGATTATGTCCAAATTGCTTGTCACATACGCATACTCATAAAAATTGCAAAAGCAAACTCAACAGCGAAAACTAAAGTAGGGTATGACTACCCACAGCAGTCGTCTTCATTGAACACCGAGGAGAACTATTTAAGCTTAGGGCCTTAATAGACCAAGGATCACAACGATCATTTATAGCGTCTAAGGGACAAAATAGGTTACAGCTTCCACCAAAACTAGCCAATTTTGAAATCACGGGAATCGGCGAAAGAGTAGTCCAAAACTCAAACAAAATCTGCCCCATTACCTTAACTTCCCCCAAAGCGGATAAGTCCATTAAAGCAGAAGCTATTGTCCTACCGCAACTATCAAATATGCTTCCAAGCTATCATACAAATAGCAAGCATTGGCAGAAGGTTTCACACCTAAGGCTAGCAGATCCCAACTTCAACACCCCCGCTAAAATAGATCTTCTATTAGGCAGCGATCTCGTACCACAGATCATACTCGAAGGTATTGAGAAAATTTCAAACACACTTTTGGCGCGCAATACTACTTTTGGTTGGATCTTAAGTGGCCTAGTTACGGAACCAGTTTCCACATCAACAACTCAAGTTGACGAAAACTCTAAATAATGCGTTAATTCACAATTGAGGAAATTTAGGGAGTTAGAAAAACGCCACTTCATATCAATTACAACCCCAGAAGATCAGTACCTATTGTGAAGACTTCTACAAAGCCACAACTACTCGATCAAATAATGGCCGGTACGTCAGACGACTACCACCAAATTCACAATGTTCCAACACTCCACTAATTGGCAGAAAAAACAAAGTCAGAGTCCATTCTGACAAGATCAGTTTAAAAAAAAAAAACACAATTATATAACATTTCGACCCCGCAGATGGCTCTTACCAATAATGATACAAAAATCCTTCTTCAAAAATCTTGAGTTATATGGCGCGCTGCTACTTGCCAAATTAGGGCATACGCACTTAACATAACATATAATAAAATTATTCTAAGAAAGTCGAAAAATCTACACCTCTCTTACAAAAGTGCCTCATAGTTGTCAACATTTTTATAAAATAATTCAAAAATCAAGTTAGGGGATCCCCATACTCTCAATGTGATACAGTGACGCACCTACACTTACAAATAGCAAACATGGCACTTATCGCATCTATCTAAGCGCTTCTAATATGGGTGGTTTATGGGAATCAGCTATAAAAAGCTTCCAATTCTAAAGTAGATAGATATTACAAATATAAATATATCGAATTTACCACATTACTTCCTCTAGAAAAAATCATTCTCAATTCACGGCAAATCACTGTACTCGCAAGATCCCTCTTCAAAGGTTTGAAAGTGGCACCCATTCTGCCAATATCTCAGCCAGGCGTGGAGTCGCTATCCTATAAGCCGATAATAAAGAAATAATGAATAACCGCCAATAAAAATAACGTATATACATGTATCACATAATAATAAGTCGTCAAACCAGAAAATTCATATTAAGGGTATATCAATATGACCCCCTTACGTACAATAAAGTTGCCTATCTTATCTAAGCAATAATACCAACATAAAAATACAAATTTTGTTATAAAACCAAAATCGTCTCTTATGTTATATCTACAGATATAGGTATATGGCTTTACCACTACTGAGTTAACATGCATACCGCGCCCTCGGCTACTCCAACAGCAGTACCGTGATATCTGGGACATTTACAGCATATATGTACTACTAGGCAAAATATTCGCCTAGGGAGCCCAGGATGTTTAAATGAGTATAAACTTCCTCCTCCAAATATACCGGTCCACCTTGGAAACGGCACGCCCTAATATAAACCACAATATACAACAACCAGTGGGAACAAGCCTGAGAACACTCACAGGATCTCACCACAAACGACGACACCGCCACACTCAACATTTAAGAAAACCACGTACGATGACATCTGACATCATCAGTCTTCTTGATCTGTCAGCCCCATTCTGCAGGTGTGTGCCGCCACCAGACTGTGACCAGTGAGTAGTCCAATCATGTTCCTACAGCCCCTTCTATCGAAAGCCAGTAAAACCTTTGTATATATCCGATGTTCCGTTTCTCACATGACTTTTCAGTTTGGCACCGAGGTATATCGCTCCATCGCGTGTCCAGATCATTTTATAGACGATGCATGGGTTTTCCAATGTTGATCACGTTTTCGGGTGACAGCCGTAGGCCACTCCTGGCAATCTCGTCCAGTATCACCTGGCACTAAGTAAAAGTGAATTCGCTTGCTTCTGGCGCCACTCTCTACTGGTGCTCTGTTTTCCAAGACACTCTATGCCCGATATGCGAAACGAGGATCGACTGTATTCAA